ACGCTGTCACATCAGTTCCAAGCAACCTAAACAAAATCCGATTTCAATACTCAAAAGCACAGTGACACTTCAACAGCATGCCGGTATCACTCCAACAGCAGTCTGGTATCTTTTAAGAAGATGCAAGAAGTCAAGAGGATCTAGCGGTACTCTGTGATGGAGTGATACCAGAGAACCAAGTTATGCTACTCGCAGCGCAGCCGCCCTCGGTTTGCATCCTGGTAGTATCTCCACGGCAGCTCAACAAACTTCCAGCGCAAGGTGGAATGGCTGTATGTTGGCATTGTGCTCGGGACCCGGAAAGGCTCTAACGCGACATCTATCTGCTGTAGCTAGTTAGCAGCTAGTTGGGCAGGAGTCTAGAACTAGAGAAGGATTCGCACAAACTATCATAGAAAGTTGGAAGAGTATGAATATATGAAGAATAGAACAAGCTGTCACCAGAAGTGCAATGGTGACCAATGCAAAAACCATGTCCTTCTGCTACACCACAACCCTATGAAAAATCGAGAAACACCCCTTGAGCTGTGACAAGAATTCTTATCAACTGCAAGACCAGAGCACACCTGTTTCCGGCTTCCTCTGCCTTTCGTTCCTTCATCGAGATTCCGAACGATTACTCCGCTGGTGCCAGCAGCCAGAACGGGCCAACAACCCACACCACCGCCCCTGCTCTCCTGCCGTTCAAGGTGCGCTCGCCACAGGAAGCCGTAACCCCGCCATGCAGGCAGGGACGGATGTGTGGAAACGCGCTCTTGAAGGGTGCGACGACAAAAAAAAGAAAGCGCCAGCACCCAGGAATAACTCCCTGCCGGCCTCCGACTGGCAAAGGGCGGCTCGCAGTGAAGCGACCTCTGCCAACCTGGGGAGGTTGGCAGCCGTAGCATGCAGCTACATCTCAAGGACTTGAGTCGCACTGCAGTCGAGTCGCTGCCGGGCGACCTCCTCGCGTAGGGATGACGCTTCTGTCTGCGCCTGTGGCTCTTGGAGCATTCTGCACTGCGGCACGTCAGGACTTCCAACTTCAGGTTCGCAGCACCGCACGAACTCCCTATGCTTCCCTGATCCGTATGAAGCCTCGGCAACCAGCTGCTGCTTCCTGGACTCGAACTCGTTGGATGCCACCTGAAACGACCCAGAGAGAGGGAGTGGCAGAGCGAGAAGGAGAACCGTGCTGACGTGCCCTGCAAAGTCGACACATCCCGGAAGCTCGCTCTCGCCCTGCTTCCAAAGACATGCATCTGCTTGATGTTTGCTACTTCCACCCTGGAATAATTCCTGCCGGCCTCTGACTGGCAAAGAGCCGCTCGCAGTGAAGCGACCTCTGCCAACCTTGGGGAGTTTGGTGCAGCTACAGCTAGAACACTTGAGACCCACTTTTGCACTGCAATCATCGGAGCCCCTCTCCTTGCAACCGAGTCGCTGCCGGGCAGCCTCCTCGCGTAGGGATGACGCCTCTGTCTGGGCCTGTGGTTCTTGCAGCATTCTGCACTGCAGCACGTCATGAAATGCTTCCAACTTGATTTTCGCAGCACCTTACAACTGGTCGGCGCTGATCCGAATGAGCACGCCTCTTCCACCAGCTGCTGCTTGATGGACTCGAGCTCCTTGGATGCCACCTGAAAGGACGTAGAGGGAGTGGCAGATCGAGAAGAGACAGAACCGTGCTGACTGTCAACGCATCCAGGAAGACTCGCTCTGCTTCCTGCTTCCAAAGACATGCATCTGCTTATATCTGCTT